ACAGAACTTAAGAAAATAAAAGAAAAGAAAAAAAAAAGAAAATTCAAGAAAAAATATACAGTAACAGGATAACGGATGTCAGTGTAATGAGTACAGAGTTAGAGGTCCTAGTCCCAGTCTTAGTCCCAGTCCTAGTCCCCCAGTCCTAGTCCCATGCTAAGCAGAGACAAATGGGACCATACTTAGCTAAGACCTTATGGAAATTACAGATCCAATTGACCAATGCACCAGACAAAAAGGATTTAATTAAGATATGGAACCAACATCCAGCCCCATATTTCTTTCTTGCCATATCTATTTTGTCTTCAACTTAAAACGGCAACTTAGTCATGGCCTACTATTTTTCTTGTCTTCTCTCTCCACTTTTTTATTATTTTTTAATCTTTTAAAACTCTTTTCATCCTTTTAAACTCTAATAGCTGCTTTTGGTACTTTAAGCTTTTTTTAATATTTGGGTCAACAGCTGTCACATGATTATACACAACAGAATTACGTAATGTTATAAAGAAAATTAATTCAAGTAAAAAATATTAAAAAATAATTAAAAAAATATGGATATAATTTAATGTGAAATATTATACCTCCTATCTATGAATACTAATTGTCCCAGAATCCCATTTGACCAAATCGTATCCACAGAGTAGGTATACGCGGTGCAATTATCCAGTTCAAGTGCTTTTCAAAGCCGATTTTAGTTTCAAATCAAATTATAAAAGCAGAATATTTACTTTAATTTTCCGGCTCTCTTAATTTTTATTTTAATTCATCTAACTCTTCAACATATAAAATTATATTTATTAAATATTTTTAATTTATAAATTTATTTTATTTAACACTTAATTAATTAAATACATATTAAATACTTAAAAAATGTGATAATTATTGTTTGAAAAATTATATAAAACAACACAATAAAATAATATTTTATATATAAAAATGAAAATTCTAAGAATTATTATTGTTATTATTCCAAAATATGTGCAATATTATCAAATTTCATAATTAAAAATATGATAAATCTCTCATTCATTCTTAATTACATTATTGTCAAATTGCAAACAAATGGAGCTCCAATTTAATTTTTTAAATTTGAACCGAGCTTTTAAGTTCAAACTTGAATATATTTTTATTGTAGGAGAGTTGAATTTGATAGTTATTAACTCGGATAATACTAATCTTAAGTGATCCTGTGTCAGCCTAATATGTCAATCATACATGTTATATTCATAAAATATATCATGCATTACAAGTAATATATTGTATAATATCTATAATCCATCAGAAAGAATCTCTTCAATCATTTCCATGAACATGAATTTATTACACCTCAAAAATTTTTAAGTAGACTCAATCTATCGCATTAACTATAAGCTCATTCAATAAAATAAAGTAATAATTTGTTTTTTTAGCTTATTTAACTTAATTGTTTCACGTTTCTGGTTTAATTAGAAATAGGAAATATAATTACGTTGATTGAAAAAATATTAAGGTGAAACGGAAAATATTAAATTATTAATATGACTTTATTTTATTAAATGAGCATGTAACTAACGTAATGAATTGAATCTACTTAAGAATTCACCGTTAGGCCCTGATAGTTATCACATATCTAAGACTGACGGTGGCCAATCAAACGGAGAACGATGTAGCTTCGCTCCAATATTTTGGCTATAATCGAAACTACATATGGAATTTTTTTTGGTGAATGTAACTGCAGTTGAACTTTGAAACCGTATATCTAAAACTTGGTATATTAAAATATGCAAAAACAGGCGAAATTTGAGTGCGAGATAGGACAAGTACATACAGTGGCCGGACAAAGGCCTTGAGGTGGCCTGCACAAGACCCCACAGCTAGAAATCTCCATAGGTGCGGCCACTGCACGTGTTATGCGGCCAGAGCGTCATTTTTTGCCTTATCTCAGCTTGAAAAAGTGTATGGCTTTCATCTTTCAACATCTACAGTTTTTTATTTTATTAAAAAATTTTATTTTCTCTTAAACTAATATCTATATACAATTTTATTTGCATCTTTCAACCTACGCACTAATTTAGTCAGCAAATGGGGCCTCCAAATGAAATAATTTTTTTTGAAAGGAATTCAACTGTACCATTTAGAGGTGTGAAAATGGACCGTGATACGGAAATATCATCCTCAAAAATGAAAATTAAATGAATTAAGATTGAATTTATATAGATTTCTGCCATAAAAGGATGATTTGTGAATAGTATAAGTTTAAACCAATTATGTGGTTGATTCGTGTAAATCATCTTATCCATTTATTTAAAGACAAAAATAAAATTTATATATATATTCTTGCCATAAAAGGAATGATTTTGTGAATAGTATAAGTTTACAACCAAATTATGTGGGTTGATTTCGGTGTAAATCAAAATCTTATCCATTTTATTTAAGACAAAAAAAAATTTATATATATATATTATATATATAAAGGGCCATTTTATTTATTTACCGTTATATATGTCGTTAAATTTTTATCCGATATACAATCACTTTAATTAAATTTGATTAAATTTTTTATTTATATATATATGGACTCATTTTTAAATTATACCGTTATATATGTCGTAATTTTTATCCGTATACAATCATTTAATTAAATTTGATTAAATTTTTTTATTTATATATATATGACTCATTTAATTAAACAGATTATATATATTATTTTATATCACTTATTTAATTTTTATATCATATTCATGATTAAATATTTAATATTTAACATAATTATTACAAGAGTCGCGTTCAGATTGTGCCCCTTATTAGACAGGCTTGTGTCAAATCCAACATGTCCATCTTTTGTTTTTGACACCCTAAATTACCACCGTGTTTTGTATCATGCTTCTTTCTCTGTTCCATGTAATGCATTATAATCATACTTTTCACTGTAAAATATTTTACTTTTAATGTCATACAATTATTTTAGTTAACGAACTTTGATGAGCTTTTCTCCCATCAAAATAAAAAAAAAAATTAATGATAAAATTAACAATTAAAATTTAGAGATTTTAATTAAACTAAATATAAAATTTGGTAGGAATCTATATACAATTTATGTGGAAATCTATTATCTAGATTAAGTGTATAGATAGTCCATATACCAAACCAATCAAAAATTTTTTTTAAATAATATTACTAAATTTTTTTTATATGGTTAGAAATATCCTCAATTAGATATTATTTATAATTAATTTAATATATAAATAACCAATAAATCAAATATAAATAAGTCTTTCTTAAAAAAAAAATATCGATATTTCTTTCATTTATTATCTCAAAGAAAAAAAAAAGGGGGAAGAAAGAGCCTTATCTAATAATCACTGAAACAAAAGTTGGATATTTGAATACTGTAATAATGTAAAGCTCACTGTTGAAAATGGTTTGACCTAGGTGCAGATTCTGGACGCTCCATGGAAATAAAGAATGGGAGGTGACTACTTACCAGTCAAAGTTTCTTTTTCAATCAACTTCATCTCATGATACCCAACTTTATCCACTGTGTATAGATAATTACCAATTTTATTATTATTTTATTTAATTAATTATTGCATACCCAATTCTTACCAAAGTCGTGCCTAAGCATCTTATCCTTCTCCTGTTCTCCAAGTGACATCATATCAGCCTCTTACATTACAATAAATGCTTTTTCTCTATTCTTGATTTATACTCCATTTTCCTTTTTTTTTAAATAATTTTTTTTTATTATTCCAAATATCTATCACATATATAGCATTATTCTAATCCCCTTTTTAGATTTTCTTATGTTTCTATATTCACATAATCTTTTTGGTGTGAGAGTTAAAAAAATAGGAATCTTTCTCCAAGTAAAGTAAAAATGAAATTCCCTAAATAAAAAATTAGGACAATGAAAATGACACAGAACCAAACAATAAGATTATAAATTCAAAGAGAATTCTTTCTCTCTTTCTATTATCAATTAGTTTCTAAAAGTAATCTGGTCATTTATAGAAGTTGAAAAATTAATAATTTAAACATAATTGGAAACAAAGTAATCAGGCACTCGAGAAAAAAACAAATTTTTTCCTATAAAAAGATTATGACTTAATGAATTGCTTAGCCTTGGCAAGTGAGCTAACACTTCTAACTAGGAATGTCAAAATGCATCAAACTGAACCGTAATTTACTTGATGCGGAAATAAAACGGGTTAGAATTAAATCTAAATAGGTTCGTGTCATAAATATGCAACTTTTATATGATATGAATTTAAACATATCATATCACGGATTGACTTCCGCAACCCTTCTAATCCTTTTAACCAAAGGTAAAATGGTTATGCACATATATACATGCAGGCTATATGAATTATAAGTGTTACGTGTTGGGTTTTCTAAGTTGTATACAACCCATTTAATTAAATCGATTGCAGTTTTTTACTTGCGCAAACCTTTTAATCGGTTTAATTAAGAGTAGAATGGTATATCACGCACACATATATATGCAGGTTATATGGATTGTAAATATTACGTGTCAAGTTTTCTAACTTGTATGAAACCCATTTAATAAAACCGATTGCAGTTTTTGATCAATTTATGACCCTTTTAATTAAATAGATTCTATGTTTCGTATTTGATTCACTCGTTTAATTTTCTTGTCGCATTCTTATTTAAATATTTGACATTATTATTAAATAGATCGCGTTTGTGTTAGCAGTAATCGTGTTGAGCGTTAAGTGAGTTCATGTTGAATCCAACACGTCAATTTATTTTGAGATGAGTAAAAAATAATAAAAATAGTTATCATACCATATTAATCATATTAAAAGTTTTGTGAATGTTTTAATTCTTTACATGAATAATTAATTTTAATTGAATAACCAACGAAATAATTGCATATCATCTATGAAAATACTAAACATTTATCAGCTTTCAACATCTTATAAAAAGAAAATAGAGTTTTCTCAATTTGGCTGCGGTCCACATGACAATTAATGTAAATGTTCATAATGGAAATGACTATATAGTATCAACCTTTCAATAATTATCTATTGAAACCAAAGCATACAACTCTAAAAGTGGTTGATGTATCACATGACTTTGTACAAAAGGGTTACAACTCACAACCTAAGTCTGCTTCCATTTACCATCTGCACAAGTTGCCACTTCTTAAAACTTGCAGTGTCCATTCTTTTAAAAAGAAAAGAAAGATTGCATCGTCTAAATTGTATTCTATACCTTCTTCCACTATATCCATCAACCACTCAAAAAGTAGAAAAGTCATTACAAAAATATAGGGGCAAAACGAAACTTTTTTTTTTTTTTTTTATACTCTGACACAAGCTGCTGGGTCTTCAAGATCACTCTCTCCTGATTCCTTCTTAATCATCTCGGAATTCTTTTGACTCAAATACCCTTGTGCTTCGGCATCAGAGCTAGCATGAACACTGTAAAAGACATATACAAGCACAGCAAGAGCCGAAAAAAAGGCGAACCGCAAGTAGGATGGGCCATCGAGAGACCCCAGCAAAAATATGTTCAAAAAGATGGATACACAAGGTATCCATGGCATTAAAGGAACACCCCAGAATTCAGGCTTTCTAGCTTGTGGAACTATGCAATGAAATACTTGTACCATTGCAATCGCTGTCGCTGCGCAGGCGCCGAGCATAAAGGCTTTTGAGTTCCCTTGAGGCATGAAATGCCAAATGAGGGTGAATAATAAAGAGGTGAAAGAAAATGAGCAGAGAAAAGATAATGTAGGCCATGGATTGGTTGTCCCTATCACGATGTATCGTCTGTAAATAACAGCATTGGCCACCATGTAGAAAACAAAGAGGGTGCCTATTGATACGAGGTTGAGGAGGACATTTAGATCAGTGAAGAGGGCAATTGCAGCTGTGAAGATACCTGAAACGGAAATAACATTCAATATTATAAGGTTTACTGTTTGTCCTGTTAAAACAATAAATACAAATTTATCTACTAGACTTGGCATCAGAGCCATTAAACACCCATATCAATAAAGTAGAAAGCAAACTCATTTCACCAATTGAAATAATTCCTAAAATGAAATTCTTTTTTATTAATTGTATAATATTTGAATTCACAATTTTTATAATTTTGTTCCAACAAAAAAACTTCAAAAATAATTGGTTTTGGGAGGTGATGAGATGCCTTTTAGCACTATTACATGTTCTATCCTATACGAGGGATTAAAAATATAGACGAAAAGAAAAAGGCTCCCACCATGCTGATCATGTGTTTATGCATTTCTTTTATCACCTCCACCTCCACACTTTTTTCTCAGCCGCATGCCTGACCAGCTGACCTCTAAACATATTATATATAATTTACACATAAATGACCTTTCCCTTATCTTTATCACGTGACAAGATATTCTTCTAGACTTTGTAGAATAACGTGTCTCAGTCAGTTAAATACGTCCATATATAATCATATATACATATAATTTCCCCTCATTCGATGTTATCATCAATAGTAGTAAAATAAATAAAAATATTATGAAAGAAAAATTATATAAACAAGAAAAAGACGAAAGAAAGCATTTTGCTGACCCAATATATTCTTCCCTTTTAGCTTTCTACGAAACAAAGCCATTTCAGTTACTAAATGGCATATGGCTGAAATTGGACGGCTCCAAAAACAATAGGACAAAACACAACGTCTCACAAATCACAATGTTTGCCAATTAGGGACAGTTTTTTTACGTACTTTGCTCAATAATTCTCACAAAGTGCACAATTTTTGTCTTCAAGCAATCGCTATGATATGTGCTTAGACAGTATCAAACAATTGCATAACAACGTTTTTAGTACTTCTCTACTTGTACCATAATTAACTACAACCACTAATTTTTGTCTGATGAGACATGATGTAAAATAATCAAAATGCATTCACCGACTGAGTTTAGAAAAAGGAAAAAATTACACTCTTTTCTATTAGATGAAAACCTAAGAAGCATCTCCTCAAAAATAAATAATAAAAATAAAAATAAAATAAAAAAAACAAAACTAAGAAGCACACGCCATACTTGTTGAACACTCTTGACACATATCATAACGTCTGTAAATGCTTGAGGAACATTTTTAGAGATTTTGACAGATGTAGGATAAGATTAAAGGCTAAAAAACACCTCACATTGAAATTCCTATCAGATAGGACCGAAGCAATGCTTAAGCTTTTTCTCACTATGTATAGAACATATTAGAAGCCATGTGAGGCCTATAATTTTTCATTTATGAGAAAAAGACTGGTCGAGTGTTGCAATCTTACTCTCAATCAAAAACAGCTATCTATCAAATTCATCCGTTGGATTGATCCAACGGCTGAAGCCAAAAAACATCAGAAATCGAAACCGAAACAGTTCAAATGGGTCCCATTCCTCAACGACCTCCCTCAAGCAACAAAATCGAAACGCATATCGAGCCCACTGAAAAACCTCCATCGATAACCGTTAATCCTCAATAAGAACAAACTATATTAATATTAATTATTAATGATATAAAAACACGTACCCAGAAATGCGGAGGCGTTAACTGGCGTTGAAGTTCTGGGGTGGACCCTAGCGAACCATTCAGGGACTACGCTCGACCGTCCGATCACGCACATGTATCGCGCTTGGCCCAACATCGAAACCAATAATGATGTTAGAATCCCAAAACTGGCCCCCACTCCTATCACGTTCGACACCCATTCCCAGCCGTCCGATTTTCCTCTAAAAGCCGCTGAAAACGGTGCCTCCGCATCGATCTGCATGATCACCATCGCACCATATTATTCTTTAAATACCATTTCATTTTCGCTATAAATTATCATCATTTAATTATTCAATTAATTATTAATTAGTAGTTACCAGGTCATAAGGAAGAAGTTTGGACATTGAAGCGGCCATTAGGCAGTAAAGAATGGTAACTAAAGCAACAGAGCCAGATACTCCGATAGGAATATCCTTAACCGGGTTATGGACTTCTTCAGCGAGAGTGGAAACTGCGTCGTATCCAATATAACTCAAATAGACCATCGCGGCTCCATTAAACACACCCGGAGCTCCAAAAGGGAAGAACCCAGATGGGTTTTGCGGGTTTGCCGGTTCTGTAAAGTTTTTCCAATCCCCTTTCCAAAATCCCACAAGGATTACAAATGCAATGAACAGAATATGCAGAGCTGTCAATACCATATTCACCACCGAACTCTCTCTTGTGCTATAAAGAGAAAATATTATATTTAATTTAATATCTTAACAAGATAAGGAAGAGATATGGGTATGAGAAATGAAATAAAGTGGGTAATACCTGTAGCAAATAATGAAAGTAATGGCTAAGACGACAAGCACAGCAACCATATCAATTTCATTAAAGCCATTGGGAAGGGCATGGACCACTAGCCTCCATTTTGATGTGGACAGGCCAATTGCAGTACCTAAATAGGCGGTGAAGCCTCTAGCAACAGCTGCGTTTGACATCACGTAGTCCATTATGAGATTCGCTCCGGTTAAAAAGGCAGCGAACTCACCTGTTATCAGAAATTATGTACGTGTTGTTAATTATTATGGGCAAAATAATTATTTATGGCTTTTATTAACGGCGGCGGAATTGATAAAACAGACCAAAGGTTACTCGGAGATAGCTGAAAGCGCCGCCGGCAACAGGCATGTCCACAGCAAACTCAGTGTAGCAGAAAGCAGAGAGAAGAGCGCAAAGACCAGCAATGGCGTATGATACAACAACAGCAGGGCCAGCATAAAGGCGGCTGGCTCTACCAGTGGTAACAAAAACACCGGCTCCAACCATACCACCTATGCCAAAACCGACGAGGTCATACCATCGAAGAGTTTTCTGCATTTCCGGACCGGAACGGGCTTTTACTCGGCTCATTTCTTCATATGAAGTGGAAACTGAACCAGCACGGCGGGCAAAGCGAGTTGGGGTCTGAGAAAAGGCTCGAAGGTAGGACATAAAACTAGAGAAGGAAGTGGCATGATTCTCCATACTATCTGTTTCTTTAATCTCTATGGCTATAGCCATGGCTATGGAGAGAGAGACAGAGTTGGGTCTAATATAAAAAGAAATAAATGATGCACAAATGGGTTATGATACTCATACTGATACTGGCGGTGAATAAAAGGCCACCACTTTGTATAATGGGAGAAACGGAGAGAGGGTATTAGAAATGGATAAAGCTTTTGCCAGTAACTTCTTCTTTTATATACATGTCAATCAATTCTCACTGACTTGTGATGCTAAGCCAGTAGTAGTAGGTTGGCTTTGACTAGGGTTATTATTGGAAATAAGAATATTTGGCCCTCGTGTCTACGCATGCACACTTCTTTCTTTCAGAAGTGCCTTTAGTGTGTTTAGCTCATTAGCTGGGCATGGCACCGGTTACGTTTCAACAATTAGGCAACGCCTCAGTTCGGTTTGAATAGAAATCAAACTAGAATCAAATCAAACTGTAAATGAGCCAAAATCAGATCTGAACCATCAATTTAAAATTTTGAACTAAAATCAACTATTTTCGAGCTGAGAGTTCATGTAAATGTTAAAATATGAATCTAAATTAGCCTAGAACCGATATGTCTAATTCAATTCAATTCAAACCGAACATCTTTTATTTTTTCTTTTCAAAAATTTATAATCACTTAACATATATACACATGGTATATGCTTCTAAAAGTCGGCTAAATCATTAAAAAAAATTCTAAATTTGAGAGTAATTTTAATTGTATTATAAATTCAACTTTCTCCTCTAGTACCCTGAATTTCAACTTTAATTACAATAGTATACTAATTTCAAATTGTACTTAGCATTAAAAAAATAATGTTTTATTCATTAATTTAGGTATAGTTTAATGAATAAACATTAAATAATCATATCCAATATTAAAATAAAAATAATATATTCATATTAAAAATAAAATACTTTTTATATATTTATAAAACATTAACTACAAATTCCCTAAAAAATAAAATTATGTCGTAACGAATAAAACCTATTTTTATAAGAAATTTAACTTAAGTATAATTCAATAAATCCTAACTAAAACTTCATGCCTAAAAAATGGCAAAACAAAAATCTAAACTAACTTCATGCCTAAAAAATGGCAAAACAAAAATCTAAACTAGTATTCTATGCTTATAATTAACTAAAATTTATTATTTTACTTGGTGTGAATTTAAAAAAAAATTTCTTAACCAATATTAGTTAGGGTGTTGGTAAAGAGTGAGTTTTTGGTTAATCTGTATTAGTTAGTGTGTCGTTAAATAGTGAATTTTTGGTTAATCTAATGAAAATAATATTTTATTCATTAAATTGGGTACATTTTGAAATTAGGATGCTATTGTAACTAAAATTAAAGTTTAAGGTATTAGTAGAAGAAAGCTGAATTATAGTACAATTAAAACTACCTGCAAAATGAAGTTTTTTTAATGATTAGCCCTAAAAGTCTAAATAAATTTTTAGCAGATGATACACTTTAACTAAAAAGTTAAGAATCCAAAAAAAAAAAAAAAATTGATAAAAAAGTAAGGTATTAATAAATAATCCAAAAAAAAAAAAAAATTGATAAAAAAAGTGAAGTATGTAATTTAAAATTGTATTATTTGATAAAAATCGGAGTTTAACGTTTTTTCTTTTAATTTTTTTACTTCGTTTAGAATTATATTATTTGAAGCAATTTTTTTCAAATTTGTCTAACAATTTATTAAATTAACATTTAGATAAAATAAAATGAATATTTATTAGATTATTTTGAATTTGTTTGTGAAATTAATTAATTTTATTTCTTATATGAATATGAATATTCTAAAAGTAATTCAAAATAAATTTTACTAGTATTATTTTAAATTCAAATTAATTTTTTGGAAAGAAAGACATAACCGTAGAATCGATTTTTTATTTCCTTTGAAAAATAAATATACATATCGCATGAAACCATGATTAGAATAGTTAGTTCATATAAATCAGGTCGGAATCGACAGGAATCGAAGCTGAACTAAAATCGACAATTCAAGGCCGATTCAAGTTCTATATTTTAAATTTTTTGAACTTCTAGTTCCGTGAATTGAAATCGACAGTTTAATGAATTGGTTATGCCTATCGATAATAACTGAACCAAAACCAAAATGCATTATAGATGAACTCAAATTGAATTGGAATTTTCAGTTTAAATTTTTGAATCAAAACTGGTAGTTCATAGGCAGATAAAGGTTCATGCTAATGTCAACAAATAATTTAAACCATCTCGAACCACTGTTTTGGTTCGAACGAATTTTCAAAAAATTATGTAAAAAAATTTTTAATCGCAAAATTTTTCCTCTAGCTAAACTCTAAGTAAGCCTGCTATTAAATGATAAACATGACTTTAAAAAGCTAAAAGCCCACAAAAGTGAAAGTAGCGAAAAAAACGTGCAATACTTAATTCAAAATTATACTTTCTTTTTTTGTCTATTCCAAATTCTTATCTTGTTTCTTATTTTATAAGTGAATAATATTTTAAGTTTACTATTTTACCATTATTTAATATGCTTCTTTGCCAATAAATATAATAGTCAAACTGCAATATTGTCATTAATTAGATCTTGATGCAAACAAAATTAACATATCAACCTTTAAGCTTCTAATAAAACTCTATTTAATCAAATGTTTGTTTTATTTAATAACAATTTAATTGTTACGGATTTTAACATAAGGATATATTAGGAAAAAAATAAAGCAAAAGTTATAGTTCATTTATGGAAGACTAAAATTATATCAACATAAGAGAAGGCAAAGATATAAAAGGATTGCATAAAAATAAACAAAAATGTTCATCTATATACAACAGAAGACTGAAAATAAAAAGATTCAATATTTAGGTTCATTTTTGGACCAAACTAATGAAAATAGAAATTTTTAAAAATTATTTCTATTTTATCTTTTTTCTACAATAAATAGTAATACCTAGTTTTAATTAAAAAAAAAACACTTTTTTTTATTATTTTAATCCGCGGACTCGTAGACCCAATTTAGGCAAGTCATTCTCCTCCATTTAAAGTCCCGCTCATTTGGAGAATTGCAATATTCTCTCGAGCTAGCTTAGGTTAGCTATGGCTTATGCCAAACTTAATTTTGAATTGGTTTTCTTCTTTTTGTTTCATCTTCCAGTTCTTCCTAGCATATTTGTCGCAAGCCCTCTTAAGGAAAACCAACATAGATGTGCGTTTGACGCAATTTTTCAATTAGGTGATTCAACATCAGACACAGACAATTTGATTCAAGAGGATCCTTCATCATCATGTATTCGGTTTCCTTATGGCGAAACATTTTTCAAGAAACCAACAGGGCGATGCTCAGATGAATTGTTGATCATTGATTATATTAGTAAGTTAGCTAATATCTCACATTTTTCTTTACATGTTTTATTTTTCTTAAACAAAATATTGATAAATGAGAATAAAGAAACTCAAGGTTTCTTGATAGTTGAACCATAATATTTTTGAGAGGAGAAAAACAACAAAAACCCTAAAGAAAATTGGAGTATCTTTTGAGAAAATTTTTTCATGAAATTTGGAAAATAGAGTTTTAATTTTATGTCTGTAAAATTTAGAAAACAAGTTTAAATTGTTTTCTATAGTTTCCTTTATAACTTGTTTGTTTAGAAAGATAATCTTTTCAGGCTTTATAGATAATCATTTTTTCCCCATTTTTAATTTGTTTCAAATAATGATGATTATCATGGTACATGGTGCTATCTTTTTTTTTTTTAGTCAGCAAAATCAATTTATTTTTTAATATACCTGGAAAAACATAATTTGTGATCTTCTCAACATTCATTGTGATTCTGTTAGAGATGAAATTATGATATTTATACTTTTTTAAATTAAAAAGTTCTATTATTTAGAATTTTTATTTGGTAATTTCCTATTTATTTTTGGTAGGAGATCTGCCATTTAATAGTCTTTCTATTTAGTAGTCCTCTAATTTAGTAGTTTCCTCTTTTATTTTTGGTACGAGATGTATATTTATTTGTCTTTCTATTTAGTAATCTTCCTATTTTATTTTATTTCAAAAAATAAATTATTTAATATAAATCAAATATAATTAAAAAATAATTAAGTATTTAATCTAAATCAAATATAATTAAAGAATAATCAAATAAAAAATAATCAAATCTTTTTCTAATTCTATAATTTTATTTAGGAAGAAGGCTCAAATTTCACCTTGAATATACAAGAAGCACATATTTCACCTTTCTTGAGAAATTCATCATGAACTTGGGCACAAAACTAGAAAACACCTGTATTTTATCTTCGTCAACGAGCGTGTCCTTCAAACTCAGCCAAAAGAGAGTGAGATTATTGATAAATTATAGAGCACAAAATTTACAATAAAATAAATAGAAATTCAACAATGGCTGAAGTTCAACAATAACAGAGATTCAACAAAATCTTCAACTCATTAAAATTATAACAAAACCAAAACTAAATCCCAAAGTTAAGCGGAAGAAAAATTCCTTTGATTAAGATCTTCCGACTAAATTGAATTAATTAAAAAAAAAAAAACATCATTAGAGAACCCCAATGGATAAAAGAAGTTGTAAACTGATTTTTTTATTTAATGAGTTTTAAATCAAATTATAATTATTTTTTATTTTTTTTTATTTGATGATATATTTGACCTTTCTTATTTGATTTTCATTTAATTACAAATTCTTACAGCACGTTCAGCTGGTGTTCCTTTTCTTGATGCGTATTTAACTCCAAATGTTACCTTCAGTCATGGAGCGAATTTTGCTGTTTCTGGTTCAACTGCTTTACCTGTATCTGTTCTAGCCGAAAAGAAAATTATAGCTCCAATCACAAATAGTTCTCTAAGTGTACAGCTAGATTGGATGTTCTCATACTTTAAAGGAAGATGTCGCAATGGTGAAGGTCAGTGATAATATATATATGCGAAAAGAAAATTATAGCCTCCAATCACAAATAGTTCTCTAAGTGTACAGCTAGATTGGATTGTTCTTCATACTTTAAAGGAAAGAATGTCGCAATGGCTGAAGGTCTAGTGATAATATATATTATATATATATATATATATATATATATATATATATATATATATATATATATAAAATTAATATTCATATATATATAAAATTATATCTCTATGTTTTAACCAAATCAACTACTCTACCCTTATAATTTAGAAAATGCACTACTATATACCAATGGTTTAAGTCTCTTACATTGGTATATATTTCCATTTAATTTTTACATTTTCAGACATTAAAACCCTATGAAATGACAATGTTAACCCAAAGTAAAAAACAAAATAAAAAAAACACCTCAGTTAGTAGGGCAATGACAATACGAATTACCTCTCACCATTGTCGACCGTTTTGAAAGAAAAAAGAAAATCTAGATAAAACGCAAGAAATTTCCATGGATTAGAGGAAGCAGTTGATAGTGAAAGGGGTATTCTTGACATATAGTTCATTCTCTCTCATTAGACTGTCAAATATTGTATTGACTTGCTCTTTGAAAATTAAAAAAATGGATGGAAGCACATGTTAGTGTAATGAAACCAAATCATGGGTAGAGTATTTAATTTGATTAAAACATAGAGGTACCATTATATTTTTTCAACACACACACACATATATATTGTTGTGGGGTCCCTCCAACATGTGGGACCCACACACATTTGAAAAAGAAAAAGAAAATAAACACGTTTTTTGTTTGTTGGACAAAGAAAGAAAGAAAAAAAAATGGAGAAGAAAGGAAAAAAAAAATGGAGAGGAAGGAGGATTCAAACATGTAGGACCCACACACGTTTGAATGGAAGAAAAAAAAAGAGAGAAGGAAAAACACGTGTTGTTTTAAAAGTTTCAAAGAAAGCTCACCTACAAAAATTGAAAATGGATGCGTTTAATTGCGCAGGACGCATTGATTAACGCATCCACTTCTCCTATAGATTAGAGCAATATTACATAGTGTAAGGAAAATATTTAGGAAGGGGTTCCTTAAAATTTGGAAAAGAAGAAAATTAGTGAGATTGTATATTTTGGGGGTGTTTTTGTTTAAACACTTAGAGAGTACCACTATTTTTGTAATCTCTTTTGACCTATTATTTTTAGTGAAGATTATTCGTAAGTTTTTTGTCCGTGGACGTTAGCCGCATAACAGTTGAGGATAGTGAAACCACGTTAAATCTCAGTATTTCTTATTTTTCATCTGGGCATTGACCGGTAATTATTTAATTTTTACCGTGGGGTTATCTATTTCTGCGTGGATTCGATCGTCAATATCCAATACGAAAAAGTATTGGAGCTAATTATATGGTAATAGTTAATTTTTATTTTACTTTTACTACGTTATTTTTTCTGCGGGCCCCATTCGAAATCAGCTTATTAATCCCAACTAATATATACCAATTATATATACATATATTATATATATGAATATCACCAGAAAATATTTCAAAATAATTTAATTTGTTTAATTTGTTCACAGACTGTGCTCATAAACTTAAATCCTCTCTCTCATTTGTTGCGAGGAAGTTTTGGAAGTAATGACTATACCTATGCATTACTTCAGATAAAACCATTTGAGGAGGTTCAGGCAATGGTGCCTGAGGAGGTCAAGGCAATGGTGCCTGAGGTTAAACAAGCAATAAATGATGTACTTAAGGTGTGTTCTTACTTAATAAAAACAATAATTTATATATTTATACAATCTTAAAAATATTAAAATAATCTTTTCTTCCCTGCAGAAAATAATTGATTATGGTGGTAGACGAGTGGTTGTTCCTGGACATTTTCCAAATGGCTGTTTACCAATCTATCTTACCAGATTCAAAACCAATGATACTACTGCTTATGATGAATTTCAATGTCTTAAAGAACTAAACAACCTTTAACTAAACAACCTTTCAGTTTATCACAATCAGCTGCTCCAACAAACCATTGAAGGCTTGAAGAAAGAATACTCTAATGTATCTATAGAATATGGCGATTACTATAGTGCATATCAATGGATTTTGCGCCATGCTTCATCTCTTGGTGAGAATTCCATTCCCATATTTGAATCGTATTCGTAAAGTTTAACGAATATTGTTAGGATTTCTAAACATAAATAATTAATTTATATGCAGGGTTTGATGTAAAATCTTTACAAAAAGCATGTTGCGGAGTTGGAGGTGATTATAATTTTGATCTGCAGAGGACGTGTGGTGCTAGTGATGTGACAGTGTGTGCTGAACCGTAGAAATATGTCAATTGGGATGGAGTACATTTCATAGAAGAAGCATATAAGCATATTGCAACACTGCTTATTCATGAAATGAACATTAAGGGTCAATGTAATTCTTATTAATTATTGACTTGATATTTACTTATATTGAATAACTATAATTTTATTGGTAGAGATTATGTTGCGCAACTCTTTTCTATCATTAGCATTATCATATATGTATTGGAAGAGATTATGTTGCGCAACTCTTTTCTATCATTAGCATTATCATATATGTATTGGACTAGAAAAATTGAGAAGGATTCCACTGTTAAACTATAATTAATCAGTCCAAAGACTTGAGAATAGGAAGAGAAACCTTCGGGAATTTATTGTTAATATTATTATTCAATTAATTGAGAATAGGAAGTTTAGTATTTAGAATATGTTAAAGGCGTAACTTAACAAATGTTAGAAATAAGGTTTAAAATTAAACAAAATGTCAGAAAAGTTTAGAATTTAGCATAATATCAATTTTGGTAAAAAAAAAAAACAGAAGTAATACCAAAAGTAACCTTAAAAAAGAAAGGCTTCTAAGATTCAATCATGATGATTGGCGATAGTGACCAATGACTGGCTTCCAACAACCGATTTCTGATGACTGATTTCTGGTGACGAGAGCAATGACGACGACAGCAACATGATGGCGATAAAGGCGACGATATAACCAGTGATGACAACAACGATAATGACAGAATTGATGACGATAGCAACGACGATGGTAATAAAGGTGACAATAAAAGGTTAAAAGAGTAAATGAATAATGAAAATGACATTATTTTAATATTTAAGGTCAAACTAATATTTTTTTTAAAAAATAAAGTTTCAAATATGACATTTATTACAATATTCCTATGCTAAATTATGCTAATGGTGAGAAATTCCAAGCATTGGATGTAACATCCTAGGCCTAATCCAATTTGGCCTAACCTAATTTTGTTTATAAGCTAGAGCCTTACCTTTAAACGAGTCTTGTTAGTCTAAGGCTTGGTAATCCTTATATACAATACAAAAAATCGCTAAATTGCGATCGACAAATCGATCGCAAAATATAAGAAATTAGTTTCTAAATGGACTCTGTGACCGATTTGCGATAGACATGAATTGGTCGCAAAAGTGTTCGTTACAAATAATTTTGTGACCGAATGACTAAGCGGTCGCAAATTAGTGACCGATTAGTTGATCACAAAATTATCAATATCGGCCGCTAATTTTCGTCATGTTTTCCTTTTGAAAGCTTATCCCAAATTGGTCACAAAAAGTGTTAGTCACAATTATGAAACGCGGTCGCAAATCGGCCGTAAATTCTGAAAGTGATTGGTTGGTGATCTATCACAAATTTAAAATTAACGGTTATAGTTTGGTTGCAGTTCGATCGCCAGTTGATCGCAAAATATAATTACAGGCAAAAAAAAAATAATTTAATAATTTAAAAGCCATAATTTTTTTCACCTGTCAAAAGTCGACATATATATGCATCACAATCACAAGCATCATCATAAAGATCACAACACGATAACAATGTAAGAATGAAATAATGTAATGTACTATACAAAATATGAAAAATCACAAAAAGCTAAAAAGGTCCGAAATCAAATCTACAAGGTCGGTCCTCTGCATGATCCAGTGTCGTAGCATCGCAGGAGTATCTATTGGATGTATCGTTGTGTCTGTAGGAGTGACCAAGGTATCGTCTGCAGTATCGGGATCTAGAGGAGACGATAGTGGCTGATGCAGAGCTATAGAAACATGTGGATCTATAGCTGACGGAGGATCAGAAGAAGAAATATCAGCACCATGATGACCGGATATCCACATGACATGCTCTCTAAGCTCTGCAAGCTGTCTCTCCTACTCATCAACACGAGCCCATAGTACACTAATCTCCTTAGCACTGTGGTTGGGCTGTGGTCGTGAGGAGGCTGCAGAAGCGTCAGATGCTGAGCCGCAGTAAAACTATGATGCTTGAGACCCGAAGGAAGCACTGTGGTTGGGCTGTGGTCGTGAGGAGGCTGCAGAAGCGTCAGATGCTGAGCCGCAGTAAAACTATGATGCTTGAGACCCGATGCCATATACTCTCCTCTTCTTTTCACCCCCTATGGCCTCCAGATAAAGTCCTAGCTCACTAATTCTTGACTCAACTTTAGATCCAGCCTGAGAAGAAACAACACGCTCACAAGTTGTACTGTAGTTCTCCTGAAAACAACAAATTATTAATCAATGCAATTGCAAGCTTTATTATATTGAACTGGTACACATAAGAGAAGACTAGAAAGTAAATGTAAATATTCTTCATTGTTACTTATATTGGCTCTCAACGCACGTATGTTGAAAAATGTATTTCCATCGTGGTCCTTTGTGTGAGTGTAAGTGAACACTTCCATTGGTGTGGGCTCACGACCATATTTTTTAGCCTGTAATGAATTTTTATGCATGATATATTAATATGGTGTCATTTCATTAAACATCAGTTTTGAACTGTAATTAAGTTGGCACTCACTAATAATCGAGATATCTCTTATTACAAGATATTTGACTCCGCCTGCCGCCTGTGTATCGAGAAGGTCCTGCTCCATCACCGCCAGTCTCACTGCGCCTGTTTCATGCAAATATCTCACACTTTCTCTTGAATACAGGATCCTCTCAAGCCTTCTGCCAGCTCTCCCATATCTCTTGAGAATTGCACTGCTGCTTCTTACCACTTTTTTGCATCCAATAGGTGAAGTCAACATACCGTAGAGCACACAATTTATCCAAGGCACTTTTAGCACAGCCGTAATAGCCTCTTCCCATACGAAATGCGTCTTCCCATACGAAATGCGTCTGCAAAAATGGAAAATAAAATTTCAATAAAGATTAAGTGAAGGCCCATAGATTCAGATTATTAATTACATTGAATGAAGATAAAATTTGAACCAAATTGTACCTGAAACTCTTCCCAATAAAAGTCTCTCGCCTCTTGTGGTACGACATCCCATGTGTATCCATCTTTATCCAGATGTAGTTTGATTATCCTTATAATTTTCCTTAATGCTCGAGAGGATGGATATATGCTGAGAAAAAAAAAAAATATAAGTGTAATATAAGTAGACAAAAGCATCAAAATCTGAACAAAACCAAGTTCAAGGGAAAAAGTAAATAAGTACTTACTGTCCCGCTACCAAACTGAGCTTGTTACGTGGCTCTGAACTGAGCTTGTTACGTGGCTCTGATGAAGCTGCAAAAGAAGTGACAAAAGCTATCAATACAAATAAATAATTAATATATAACTGAAATGACAGCAAATGACATTTATGATTACCTGGTGCAGTAGGTGATTGTGAAGCTGGTGAAGACTTTGCTGGTCTAGGAAGTGGGGTAGAAGAGGAAGGAATAGCAGGAAGTGATGGCGGCATAAGAGGCTGAGCAGAGGATGAAGCCCCAGACGTACCTGAAGATGAAGGAGGAGGGATAGTGCCTCCTCGTCCACATGTACTGTGTCCTCGGCCACAACCTCCACGTGGACCACTGTCGGACGCGTCTGAATCAACCGCTCTACCTCTAACCATCTGTACTATAGATAACAGAACCTACATATGTATGTATACAATTACATGAATTGTAGAACTATACAATTACATGAATTGTAGAACATGTGGTAAATATGTATGAAGAAAGTGAATAGCTTTAAAATTCTTCATTAATAATATTATATATACATCTATTAATTTATTAACCATAATACAAAATGCATTAATTATTTATGTCTTCTTCATCATCTGCTTCCTCTTCCTCTTCTTCTTCTTCCTCTTCCTCTTCTTCTTCTTCTTCTTCTTCCTCTTCTTGGTCTTCGTCTTCTGAGTTACCCATGATGATTTGATCTTCTTCCTCTTCATCTTCCTCTTCATCATCTGATGCTCTTATTTCAACATAAGTTCCTTTCATCATCCAGTCTATCCGTTAAATCTTCAACAACTTGCATCGGTTGCGTATCAACTACAATTTCTTGAAATGACTCAGATATTGTAAGTAAAGTAGATTGTTTGGTTTCAACTACATGAACAACTGCTCTGGGCTTGATTTTACATATTGCCATCCAATTGCAACGATCTCATTTCAATGATGGATATGGAATATAGTACACCTGCTTAGCTTGCATCACCAACACAAAAAGTTCGTACTTTGTATATCTTCTTCTATGATTAATATCTACAAGATTATACTTAGGATGAACCTTCATGCCAATGTTTGGCTTAGGATAAAACCATTCACATTTGAATAAGATTGTGCACTTGATTGGTAGGGATGGATATTTTAAATGCAAAACCTCAGACCATTTGCCATAAAAATCATTTGACTCATCACTGTAGTTTGATCCCTTTATGCAAACACCATTGTTCATTGTCTTGAGCCGCTTGTATCTCTGCATCAGTCAATCGCCTTTCTCTGCATCAGTCAATCGCCTTTTTTTTTTTTTTTTACCAATCGTATGCCAAGGATAGGTGAAAATTGTTAGATTCCCTTCCAACTCAGATTCTATTCGATCTCCTCCGTCATCATTACGTGGCAATCTCCGATGCTTTGTGTAAACATGTGGTTCAAAGTAGTGTGAGCAGAAGGTGGAAGCTTCTTGCACCAAATATGCATTGCAAATTGATCCCTCGACCTTTCCCTTATCGCGGATGTTCTTTTTAATTTTCTGCAGGTGTCTGTAATTGTACAAAGATAATATGTAAATATGAGTTAAAATAACATTGTAATGATTAGAGTGGGATGTTAGTGATTCACCTCTCAAATGGATACATCCATCTATATTGTATCGGTCCTGTTATACGACATTCATAGGGCAATTAAACCGGCAGATGCTCCATAGAATCAAAGAAGCCGGGAGAAAAAATTCGCTCCAATTCACATATCACTACTGGAATTTCTTGCGCTAATTGGTCTATATCATTGCATCCGATAACAGTCATTGTCAATTCCTTGAAAAAGAGACTCAATTCTGTCATTGCTTCCCAAATTTTCCTTAGCAACAATTCTCAGAATGCCACAGAAATCAATCTTTGCAAGAAAACATGACAGTCATGGCTTTTCATGCCAGTATTTCCTTATGTCGACACATCTACCCATATTTGAACAATGTCCATCTGGAAA